ATTCCATCTCTGATGTTTTGGAGGTCCTTCTTTGCTCTGCTCCTATTTTGTATTGTTTTATGGACTTCTGAATTTGAATACGGTTCAATATCTCCATATGTTTCATGCATAAGTACAGTAGTGGCCTTTTTTTAATTCTAAAGACATGGATACAAATTGTAGGATAATAATGATATTTAAATTTTATATCACACAATTAATGTGAAAGGTTTTTTTTCAGGAAGAATTTTGGATTTGTGAAGCAAATTTAACTCCTCCACTCGTGAAACCTTTTGATGTCATTAGAGTTCAAATAAACTAAGCATTGTAATTTCACTGTGCATTTGCTGTTTGAATTCGATAAAAGACTCTCTGTTTTGTGTTGTTATCATAAATTTGCATGAATTTCCATAATGGTGTTAGGTTGTGCACTAGAAAAGTCCATCTTGTGAGCCTTTAGGTACATGTAAATTGATGACTCTTACAACTTAAGAATTTTGTTTAGATGAGTGCGTTCTGAATTATTCACAATTGAAAACAGGATAGCTTCCTCGTGCGTCATCTATATAACTTTCATGAAACCGTTATGTTATATTGCAAAGTGCTTCTTCATTGACTAAAAAAGTTTTATCTCATACTTCTCATTTTATAGTATTAGAGACCTTCAATGCATAAGTGCGGAAATGGAACTTTTTCTTTGGCTTAAAATCAAAACCACCACTACTTCATGTACCATCATAATTTCCATTTCATCACTTAAACGAAATCCTTAAAACAAATTCACATAGCTATCACAAACCTCAAATAATACCACTGCTACCCTGATCTCAAAATGAGCTAAAACATGAAAAATTTGCATTCCTTTGAAATTTCTTTAATCTTTAAGGACAAATTGGATAAGAAGATATCTTCGTAGTGAAACTTAGCTTACCATAGAAAGAAAACGTTTATACGCTTAGTATTTTGAATTCGTTTTTCAATCAAAATTTAGGTACATGTAATAATAAAAATTGTTTTATGACAAATTCCTGAAGTGAATTTCTTTTGATATAAATTTTTACTTAATATTAAACGTTTTAAAATAAATGATGTAAAATATACATACATGTATAAGTAATAACAAAAAGGTGCTGATAATTGATTGATTGTATGTTGTTTAACGTCCCTCTCGAGAATTTTTCACTCATATGTAGACGCCACCAATTGTCGGTGGAGAGCTGCAAATTTATTCCTATACTCGGCATTTGGGGTCATTGAGCAGGGAGGGGTCTTTTTCAAGCTGATAATAATTAAAAAGTTTGGCTTTAAAAAAGTCAAACGTATAAAGAAAGACTTTATATTGAGAAAAAAAATTAGTCCAGTACAGTAATTAATAGAATTTCTCAGCTAAGCTTGCTTTAATAGAACCCGGACTGATAAATAATGTGAAGTTCTACCTGACAGAGATTCCAAAGACCTGGTTAATCAATATCTCATCGCGACTTAGCAAGACAACTTGATCTCAATTAAACCCAGGGATGATCTCGACAGCCACGCAAAATCCTAACGAAGTAAAGGAATACATGCCCAACTACAAGAAAATTACGAACCATTGACCGTTTTAAAACCGAAAGAGTAAGGAACAAACGAATAAAAATCAAAACTGTTCGAAAACTTATTGGAACTTTTAAGTTACAAAAAATATCTATGTCCTTTATTTTTTTCTTCAATTTGTACGTTTACTTCCGAAACATTCAAGTTACATATATTGACCCTTTTTTTTCAAGTAAAAGTCAACTTAGACTGAAACAGAAACGAAGTATCATCTTCAAAGTTTAGTTTAGTACCTACGTTAAATATTTAGATAACAAACAGGTATTAAAATAAATTAAAATTTATAAACAGAATCACTCCTAAATTGATTTTGATTGTTTTTTTTTCTACTCATTGGACGTTTATTTTTTTCATCTCCTCAACAAGGCTCACTGAAAAAAAAAATCACGTGACTCGTTGCAATAGAAATAATTATATTTAACCACAAATTATGGTTATTTTTTGATCACATGATTTATAAATCAAATATATCCACGGGATTAAGTGGTAAACATACGATAAAGTTATTTACAGATATACGACTTACGAGGGTCATTCAAAAAATTCGTAGACCTTTGTCTTAACTTTTTTTAACGTCATATTATATCCAAATTTGGTACACATACTTTAATAACAGATTAAAATAATCTGAGTAAAAAAATTGGATTGTATCTTCATATTCATAAAAATTACCAGAGATTTAGAATGCATGTAGTGAAAATTGGGTCACGAAGCACCGTCAAAATTAAGTAATTTACTAATTTCACTTTATAGTATATATATAGTCATACCTCTTATAAATGGAGCTGAAACGAAACAAAATTTACATGTTTAAAATAAGCATTACTGTATTATTTAAAATGATATCGGATTATGTAATATGTCGCTTCGTTTAAAAGACATCAGTTTCTATTCGGTTTTGATTAAAAAAGGCAAAAACCCATGACGTTGGAGGACGTCACGGTGCAGCGAGGTGCAATAAAATTGTACTTTGCATTGGGAAAATTCTTTTACAAGCTTCAAAAATCTGTATAAACCAGGATCTGTATGAAAAATAAGCAATGTATTTGTATAAAATGGAAAATACAGTTTTTGAGTGGTAGCGAGTTTGAATCGGACAATGGATTGTCTGCAGAGAAACATGTTATAGTTAAAAATATTGTCAAAAGAGTTAGGAACGTCATAAAACGTGATGAGCGCTTTACTGTTGCAGAATTAATAGAGGTACTGTATATGAAATTTAAGAATTTGAAAACACTGACAATCTAATTCATGTTATATTTGCACAATTGTTAGCAAACTAGGTGTTTTTGATAGGTTTTTTTGAATGGAGAAGACACTATCAACCGTGTTTGAAATTAAAAGCCGAGTAATTTTGAGAAACTTTCTCAATTTTGGTTTTGATGTTACAATGTTGGTTAACCGTGCTCCGTGATAACAAAAGATGTTGCTTTAAAATTTGGCTAACATAGCTTCTATTTAATCAGCTGGAATGAAACTTCACAATTCGACAAAATAAATGTTTTTGTTTACGAAAATGTGTTGATCTATAATTTGTTATAATAATATGACGATGAGGAACATTGCCTTTGTCTACGTATTTTTTGAATGACCCTAGTACATATATATATATGGTCTTAACCCATAACGTGCCCAATACGCTGCATTATGTGTAACGTAGGCAGGTCCAAAAATGAGGGGAATAAAGACATTGTTATGCATTGTTATTAATTGTATAATAGAATGTATTTTAGGAAAACAAAAGTAATTTTAAGAAGACTATATATGATCTCCTTAGCTAAAAATAACCTAGTATACTGCTTAGCCATTTGGTGGAAGTGAACATCAGTTAAGCATCTTACTTTGATTAAAATGTGCAGAACATTTTTAAAAGAGATTTTTTTTTAGAAATTTCTTATAATTATTATAGATATACATGGAAATGCGTGTTCAGTAGTCGTTTTAATGTTAGTAATTTTGGTAAAATTTGATAATTCATATTTTCTTTACGTTTTTAAGCATCCACATTTCGTTAACACCACCTCTCTTAATTGTTGAACAGTATTTATTCATAACGTTTTTCCTTCACAGCAGATTTTTTTTTTTTGTAAAAAGAGGCTTGCTACAATGACCTTGTCAGCAAATACAATTTATCATTGAGTCAAATGCTGACAAACGTATTTCATACTAATTGTTAGTCCATTATTTATCCACTGAATTGTCGACGGATTTGCTCGATATTTTCCATTTATGACAATAAGCACAGGGCGGGCGTTACCAGTCGGCAGGGGATGCTCACTCCTCTATTTCATCTGATCCCACCCCTGATGTTTTGGAGGTCCGTGTTTGCTCTGCTCCTATTTTGTATTGTTTTATTGACTTTTGATCTTGAAAATCAGCTGTTATCTTCATTTGTTTCATTTATAGAACATCTACTGTAATCTTAAGCTTGATTGTGATTTTTGTTTTCAAAAATTTGGAATTACGAATATGTTTAAACTTTTCAAACTCTTGGAATTACGAATAAATATTCTATCACATGTTTCGGGCTTTGTATAAAGTTTAAAATGAAACACATGGAGATGACGAACAGTATTCAAGATCAAACGTCCATAAAACTATACAAATAGCTCAAATAACTTGAGTAAGTATCAGTGTTGCAAATGGTTTGAATAATTGAATTACAGGAATGGATAAAGTATAACCAATGTGCAAGATTAGATATGGCGGGAACAAGTTGTAGCTGTGGTAGCGGAGTGTAATTTTGCAAAAGAAGTATGCTCGTAAGGTTTAGTACATCTAGATAGCAAAATTTCACTACTTATTAACGACAGTCATTTGATAGGTTCAATACGTATTTTGTATTTCAAAAAAGGAAAGTTTCACAATCGTTTAAGATAAGTATATTATTTCAATGACCAATTTGAAGACAATTTTCAGATGCATGTAAAATTCCACAAAATAATATGATAGTAGATTTTACTATTCACTTGTATAGATTGGTATTTAATTATTACCAGTGTTGCTTCTTGAAAGAAGAAAGTACCTGATCTGAAAATACGATTAGATAATGCTGATAGGTTAAATGTCCATTCTACTCCTTTTACGGCATTTCATTTCTGATATCATGAAACGTTCATTCTAGCAAACCTTGGTTTGTAAAAAAAAAAAAAAAAGAAGATAAAAATGAGATATAGAAGGATTCAAAATATCCAGGGTAAAATACTTAGTGTATACTAGGCGGTTCACTTCAGGTATCAGTGGTTAAACACCTAAAATAAAAAATTGAGATATAGGAGGACTCAAAATATCTAGGGTAAAATACTTCCTGTATAGGTGGTTCATTTCAACATATCCATTGTATTCGAGATGTTTGTGTTTGAGATATTGAAGTTCAAGTGTATTTATTTCCCTTCATGAAGTTACTAAATGAAAAAGAAAAACAAAGACAAGATTACACCAGCTTTATTCGCCAGAAGTACACTGTTGTTGGCAACGAGAGACAATTTCACCCATTTCTATTCAGACCGTCAACACAACTTCCAAGGAAAGCAAACAGAATAAATAAAAATTTTTAAAATAGCAGTTATTTTAAATAAATAAAATTTGCATTAACTATATATTTTTTTCAGCATCTTATCTGGACCATGAAATCGTTTTAAAACAAACATGTCCAATATATTTGAAAAAGGTCGATAATTCAAACAGATATAAAGTTGGACAACTCTTACAAAACAAAAAATCGACAATTCCAAATAGAAATCGGCATGGGACCAATTATTTTTCTCTCTCTTCCGAACTCATACATAAGGCACAGTATACAATTACGCTGAAATTCACATGAAGCGCACAATGGACAATTAATGATGAAACAGATGGCAGTATCGCTGAGACAATGAAATTATCCATCGCTTATACATCTTCTCCCCTAAACATTTAGCATAAAAACTTGTTTTCAATCGTACAATGACCGTCATGATGACGTCATAAATGACGTATCACTAAAAAAAAGATAAGCAAAATAAAACGAGATTCTCAGCACATTTTTAAAAATTTTAAATGCCCTATTATAAAAATAAATGTCGTTCAAATAAAACATCCAGGTTTATTTGTTATTAATTTGATAACTTGTCAACCATTACTCTAGAGTTGTGAGAATTCGCTGAAATTGAGTTGGGTTTGGTATCTCTCTTTTTCCTATATGCGCAATACTGAAAAAGTTCAACATAGTCGCAACTGTGATAACAACATTCGCAAACAATGCCTGTATAGGTATTTCGCTTGGTTCGAGAGTGCTCGCTTGTTAAATACATAGATGCCTCTCTTTTGCCGAGAATGAGTCCTTCTAAAGGCGAATAGCGTGGAAAATCTACAATAAAAAAAAGAAATTCATCTTTAACATATGATTCGTGATAAATATTTCTAAAAATACGTTCATTAACAAATATATTTCCTTTGACTCGTTATGAAAAAGAGATCTGTGATTCTGATTATGAGACAAAGGGATTGTAGCGTGATAGCAATAATAAATTTCCACCACGGTTAAGTGAAAGGTAAATATTAATAAAAGTTATCAAGTTTAATTTTTTTAACATGAAGATTTACGCACACAAGAACTTTTCATTTGAATCATTATGCAGCGATAACTTGTTCATGAAATTGCAAAATAAGCAACATGAAACAGTGAAGAATAAGACGGAAAACAAGGTAAAGCTAATCATACTTATTTAAATTTCAACAAACAAGTATAATTGTTTCTTGTCTTTTCCTCTTCCTGATTTTTGTTCTGAATTAATGTATACAAATACAGGTGCATATAAAAACTCTTCATTCCAATATTTTAGTCCTGATCGAGTGCCCTTATGCGTCAAATAGATTTGATGGTTCTGACAGACTTACATTTAATGAGAAAAGCATTTTGATCGTTTGGATATATTGTATATTGTTTTTAAAAATTAGGTCATTTAAATCCTAGTACAGAAAGTTTGACTGTCTATTGCTTAAAGACGTCATAGAATTTTATAACAACGCATAGAGATCGTTGACTTCATGTAAAGCAGGAATTTCAACTTTTCGTACAAAGTTAATTAGCTAATATAGAACTAACTTTCAAAATTTATGTACACAGTTTTATGGAAATCGATGGTACTGACATTTTTTACTTACCAAGATCACTTTCTTGTTTATGGGAACGTGATGATACATCGCGTTTTGAATGTGAAGGAACGTAATATTCCCCCTCACACAGCAAATGGAGCATTTCCGGAATCATCCTGCCGCATATACCATTCGGATCCGGTCCCCGCTGCTCGGTCCGGGAATCACACACACGCTCAAAGTATGAATGTACAATAGAGAAATGTAGATACAGGAGTATAAAAATCTGATGGGTCCGTTTAACTGGCATATTTTCCCGCATGGTGCACTGAAAAATAAATTTTAAACATTTTGATTAAAAAATTAATAAGGCGGAAGTGATGAGTGCGCAAAATTTGTATATATCATATTAGGAATTTCTGCTACTATATGTGTACTTTTCTTATTAATTATATAAAAGTCCATGAGATTTTCTTTTTCAAAAAAGAAATCATTTTAAAGCATTGGTTTCAAAAAAGCTGTTGCGATTGAGGCAAACAGGCCTTGACATCCTTCTCGTTTCTTAAACATACAATGACAATTACTATTGGTTGATTTTCAAAATGCATGTATATTTACTGTATTATTATGTTGTTTATGTCTATAAACTTCTTAAATTATATAAGATCGATCTTTCTACATATGTATTACAAAGGATATTCACTAAATGCCTATAACATCTTTCGCACTTATCACCAAATTAGTGTGGCAGAGTCATATAATAGCAAGGTAACATAACAATATAAAAAAACATAGACGGTGATAGACATTGAATAAACCATACATTTCTGTAAAAAAAAATGTTTGTTGGCGTTTAATAATTTTATTTAAAGATATAATATTCCCGATTTATAGCACAAAAACACATGTACCTATTTTATAGTTCAATATACGGTTTACAAGGTTGCATATCGGAGAGAGAGAGAGAGAGAATCAGGGCTGTATTTTCCTCAATAGAAATTCAATCACTAGACCTTAATGATAGTTTGAACAAGTTTAATTTGGTCCTACTGCGGAAGATAATTAGCCGCACAATGCTGTGGAATACAAATATTGAGTGCTAATCGACTCAATGAAACTTTTGATCTTTGTGTTAAGTTTTGCGAAGAAATTTCTGTTGTATTAGAAGAGAGCGTAAACAGTTTTATTCAATTTTTTAAGGTTAATTTTAGTTTTTGTAATGATTATCTTCATTTTCATTTCAATTACGTGATCAATCGAGAAAACTATACATTGTAACAATGCAGAGAGAGAAAAAAAGATGTTTTAGATTTTCCAGCGATTTGTCAAAAATAATTTGATCCGTTCCGCTGAAACCCTCTAAGATAATTCCTAATTTGTTCTATTTGAACAGGAGCTGGACTTTTATATAAACTTCACACAAAACAAGTATTGACATAACGATAAAGACTCGTGGCCAAACCCTCATCTCTCCTTCATAAACACGGAGGCTATCATGTCGATTCGACCCACGGTGTAGGGGTCAACACAGGGCGTAAAGGTAGATTGTCCTAAGTCAGCAAAAATAATAATTTGTTGAATCTTTTAATCATTTTTTGCAATTTTCGGCAAATCGGATTTTTGGACGCAAATAATAAAATTTACATTATTTGCTAACCACTAGGGAACAAGGAAATAATATCATATGGCATATTTTTCCCCCGCTACGTTCCTCTTAATTGCATTAATCTTTTGCTAATCCGATTAAGAAAAACATAAGTCAAAACACTAGTACACAAACAAACCTATCTTATTCGACCCCTGCTGGGGAAGAGAATAACAGAAGCTTGGCCAGAAAAAAAAATCTCACAAAAACGTAAAAGAAAAACATATGAAGGGGAAAAATAAAATAAGAAATAAAACCTACCCAGTCTCCGTACGACATAAGTCCGTTCGGTGCGCCTCCTGGGGTATCTACGACATTAGAGGTTCCCGAATGGAGGGGACCTCCCGACTCCGATGTATCTCCGGCGCGTGCTGAGCAACGAAAGACGGAGAGAAACCGCCGCAGTCGATTCTAATAATCCCTAGTAGACGCGTGATCTGCCTGGGTATATATCTAATGTCGAAAAGATTATTGGAAACAAAGAATTACAATGCTCCCAGCTCCGTAGTCGGAATCAGTCTCTCAGAGGAAGAAATCTAGACGATTAATTATATAATACTCTTTTTCCACGCCCTTACAAAAGAAGACGTCCAATATTTTTTCTTTTCTCTAGAAATTATCGACTTTTATGAATTCCTTTTGATTGAAGAATAAAAAATATTTCTTCCGTTTTCTTTTTCTCAACTCCCTCTAAATAACGGACATTAGGGATGAGATGGGAAAAGTTTATGAGTTAATTGTCACTTTTGTAGCTCATACGATGATTAAATACACGACTTGATATTGAATATTTGTATATTTAAGATAGGATTGTTTAACAGTGAAAATCGTATCGTTTGTGCCATTGCTAGTATTTCTATTCTGACAAACTTTTAAAATTTCTTATCCCTAAGAAATTGCGTTAACCCAAAGTTTGACCTTGATAAAATTTTGTCGGGTAGAAAAAATTCTTGCAGATTTTAAATTTTCTTTACTTTTGTCCTGAAAATTAAGAGAGCTTGAATCTTCATTTATTGCTGTATATATTCTTCATTTTCATATTTCTTTTTCATATTATTCAAACTTTAGAAATAAAATATTCATTTTTTTAATGAATTTAATTTTAACAGAAATTTAAATAACCTGGAAATGAACATGTATAATTTTTGCATGCATAAATTTGCAGCATTAAATATCAATACAGTGTATTTCATTCCAACATTGGCTGAAATACACTATGACATTTTCATAGCAAACAGCTAAATATCAAAATAATTAAACAGATAAATAATTATATCTGATCACGATAAATGTCCATATTTCCTCATGATGACGGAATGTCTTTTAGATTTGGCCTTGAACAAGATCTAAGTATATCGTCAACACGTATTTTCCACAAGTTAAATCATGAACGTTATTTGGTACCATTGGCGGATATAGAGGTGCGAGAGTCCTCCCCATTTTTTTAGCAAAATCTACACGAAGTTAATTAATTAATATTCTGTGTTATAAGGCATTGCATTTATTATTTGGAGAGTATAACTAAAATAAATCATAAAGCTGTTCGTCCATCACATTTTTTAAGACCAGCGAGCTATAGTTCTGTAGCAATCCCCATTCCAATTCACAACCCACACCCCTGAAATGGCTGCTTATGTGTCTGGAGAAGAAAAAAAAACAGTCCAGGAAACCAGATATTCAATAGTATAGTATTGAAAAAATAAATAGTTCACATGAATATCTGCATTGAATAAGACAAGTAAGCCGAACTACTCCAGAACTGAGAAATATATCGGTATATTGACCGTATATCGTGTGAATTGCACTATAAGCAAATTTTACCATCATATAACCACAGGTTATATTTATATTAAGCCAAGATTTCATGACAATTTCGTGGGAATGTCATATTGCTAGTTATGAAGGAAAATAAATTACATAATAAACCGAATTAGATGATTAAATTTGTCTCCAGAAGCTGGACCAACAGGTAACTGACGCCATTAATTCATCTACAGATATTCATATTACAAGGTCAGTTTTTCCCACTAATCAAAGTGGATTCAGACTGACTTGAAATGAATAGGTATCATGCAGCCAAAATTATTATCAATAGATTAATTTTTACTAGTTGCAGCTCCGTATATATTTTCAGCTGTACATGTATGCTTAAATAGAGATCACGTGATGAATTTAGTTGTGCCCCAAGTTAAAAGTATATTAAGTAAATTTCTTTTTACCCCCCCCCCCCCGACTTACCCCTAAACTAATTTTGATTCGGGCCTGTATTAAAGAAAGTTTATATCTACTGAAAACAGGAAAATTTCTGCACGTTAAAGCCAGTAGAACTTAGAAAGAAAAGGATTCCGAAAATTGGTATGTTTTCCTGGCTACAAATAATGTTAAAATTTTCATAATTTGTGTGCTACTTTCGAATTAGCATTTCAGAGAAAAAGAAACTCTTTACACTATGTATTAGAACTTAGAAAGAAAAGGACATCGCTAAAAAAAAATGTTAAAATCATAATAAAGCATTTGCATTTCAGATAAAATGGAAAAATTTACACTTCGTATTTTAGATATCGCGCAATCCTGCAAAGCGTCGACACCCCCCCCCCCCCCTCCTTACTTTGTGGGTTTTTATTTAGTAGAATCTCTCCAATTTATTTATACGTGTAGCAAAAAAACGTCTCCATCCTTTTCTGTCTTTCAGATCTTTTGTTATCTTTTAAATGATCGTGTCGTTTAAAACAACGAGTAGGCACTGGTGACGATCAATTTATTACGCTATAATTGGAACTAGAAAAATACACAGGGGTTAATGGGAATGCAGCTTATATGGAAAATCCAATTTCCCTGGAGTTTAATTTATATAGTCCTATAACCCGGTCTTTCTAGTTTTGGTTCATCACTATTTCATTCAAGTTCGTTGTAGTCGTTTCTCAAATGAACTGCATGAAAATTTTCTGTGAAAATTTAAATCAGGCTTGCTTGCCAAAATCTTATATTAATTTTTTTTAAACAAATATTCATATTTGGTTAATTATTCAATTTTTGAGGATTTTTAGATTTCTTTTAAACATTTGTCAACAAATTCATTTTTGGAAGCTAATATTCAGAAAATGATCAATAATTTTGTTAAATTCTTAGGTACTCAAAAACATTTTAGGTTTTATTTTGAAAAATATAAGAACAGAAAAGTAAACAATACTTTTTATCCATAAAAAAGAGTGCCCAGCAATTAGAATGGTATATCCATGTTCTTTCAGATTTTGTACTAATATATTTAAATATATGATTAAATATTAATAACTTTATTTTTTTGGAAAAAAATCTTTTTCGATGATTTTTAGTCTTTAGTTGCTGAAAACAACAAGGTGACCAGGTGCACAATGCAAGAAGTCAATGGCCACTCAAAGTTAAAGTTCAAAGTTTGCCTTCGGATGAAAGATTCGTTGAACAGCTGTAATTTCCATTGCGGTCAAACCGATTTTTCCCATCCCACACAACTATCTTCTTGCAAAATTGTTTTTGAATGGACGTGCAAGCATGTTGTCAAGGCCGTGAGTAAAGCGCAGGGCAGTCAGAGAATGCATCTTGTGCATGCGCACTATGACAGATTGACAGGTAAAATGATGGACTAGCGGTCAAACTTACGTGAAACCTGCGATTCCTCGTGTGCAGTCGTCAAATTCAAGGCTAAGTGAAGGTATCGATTGTTTTCTTTTAGTCAGACTACAATGCATTTTCTGTTTGTATATATATGAACTCAGTAATGGAGCATATGTGTGACGTCACATTTGACGGCTCAGCTTCCGGTGCTGATTAGGATCCGGAAGTACTGATATGGATCTGCAGGACCGCTGTCTTGTAAATTTTTACATATATTACTAGTATATAAAATTTACAACATGAAAGCTATTTTTTTTAATTTACTCACTGCCACCCGTTAAATTCAAAATTTACATGACAATGATACTGATTTCAATTATTTGCTCTTATGTTTGTCTGTTGTTCAACGTCCCTCTCGAGAATTTTTCATTCGTATGCATAAGGCGTCACTTGCCGATGGAGAGCTGCACATTTTGCCCTATACTGGGCACACAAGGCCATTAAGCTGTGATTCCTTTGAGATTAAACCTTCAAAAACATTTTAGGCCTAGCTGCTTGTAGTAATACACCTACTTTTTCACATTCTCTGGATGTTAAATCAACTAGCTATTCTTTGATTAAGCTTTTTTCTTTTTCTTTTTATTTGCTCATGTTGAAGCATATGTGTGTTGTATGTTATGTGTAAGTATGACTTAACCATATCAAATTATATATTCTTTAAGTTTTCCTCTGCATCAGCGCTTGATCGACTAAGCCCTCGGGCTTGTATTTGTGTCTCGGGCTAAACCATGACGTGATATGGAAAAGGTATGTAATATCCTCTACTAATATTATCTTACTTTAATGACGAAATAAATTATAATATTCTCTTAATTTCTATGTTGAATGACATTCTCTCGCCGTCAAAATAATAGTATAAACCAATCACGTTTCTTTTAAAGAGGAAGATTAATTCGTCTTTTTCATTTCTTAATTAAAACTTCTGCTATTAAACTATTCATAAAATTCTTTGGGGTTAAAATACCAGGACACTTACCATAGTAAAATACTAAAATCCCATATTAAATGTGTATTATGTGTAATGACTATTACTGTAAAAAAAATACTTTAAATATTATTAGTGTGAGTTCCTAAAAAATTAAAAACAAAATATTTTAGTTTAATTTGTATCTGCAGAGAGATGATGATTTTTTTCTTTTGCCTTTTTGTTTTTGCACTATCCTATGTAAACATAAAATACAGTTGTTTCGTCCTACCTCCCAAGTAAACAAATTGTAAAGGTCAGTGTCCGACAAAAGGTCATCTACTGACCAGTCGACCTTCGCCCTAATCGCCCGATAAGAAGAAAAGTGTATTCAGCGATGGTGTTAAAACAAAGTTAATGAAAACTGTTCAATTAAAAACCATGTAGTGTTAATATACGATATGTCTTTTATTGCAAAAAATTGCTGACATTTAAAAAAAAACATCTTTAATATATGTTACACATTTTAAAGTTTCTTGTAATTTATATGCAATTCTTATAGTTAGAGAAATATACCGAATGTGCTTTCAAAAAAAATTAATATATAAATAAAATTGAAGCGTTCCTAATGCGAAAACTTATTATTTTTAAAATTCAAATTCGGGGGTACTGAAAGAGAGGTAGATTTTTGAAAATGTTTTTTTGAGGAATTAAAACCATTAATTTTTTTTTCTTTAATTTCAGTATATAATGAAATAAAGTAATGTTAAAGAACGACCAATTTTTACGCATCATGCGGATGTCACGGTAGTACATAAAGTAGCCAACAAATAGAACGATGTACCATATCTAACATTATGTAATAATACTCTACTTTTGTGTCTCAATCAAACCCGTATATGTCAAGGGTGCACATTCCAATACCCGTGTCTTAAAGGTTTCATAAGTGAAAATTTAA